AGCTTCCATATTTGTAATCAGCGTTTCGAAGCTCTATCGATATATCTAGGTCTCAATTGGAAGTTTCATGGGAAGTTGAATGCCCTCCATGATAAGTGGTACCGTCCTTTTCCTTGCTTTCCTCTTCATTTTTCTCACACTGAAATCGCACGCTGTTTTTTTTTCACTCTCCTTCCATGTACAGACGAAGGCAACCGGCCAATTCAAAAAAAAACTTCTTGAGAGCGGTGGAGCGAGTCCTACCGTACATAAGCTACCGTACTTGATTTGTTAGACGCGTAAGTCTGTAGTGCTGCAGTAGGTCTACTCAAATACTTGTAAAATTTGGCGCACAGTCATAATCTGGATTTCCTGATCCACACACAATTACTGAAGCTACTGCTATTTATCAAATGCTCCTCCTCCTCGAGCAGGGTAGAGCGTGCGTTCGCGCCATTCGAATCAGGAAGGTCGCACTTGCGATTTAACGAGGGGAGTGGTCGCATTTGGGTTGTAGCAAGATCAAAAAGGTGCGGACGCGGCAGTTGACCCTTTTCTCAAGCTCAAACTGCGCTCAATTTATTCTGTCAACGACGACGCTACAACAAACAGAGGAACTGTTGTGAAGTTAGGGTTCTTGAAAGAACGTAGGTGAAGCTTAGTGCTAGCTCTAAAGCCACTGGAAGGCGCTTTTGACTCAAAAACAATCAAGGGACGTTTTGAAGCTTCAGAATGCCCTCGACAGTGAACGTGGCTTCTCACAACTACAGCAGGACTTGACATGCGCACACATTTTCTTTGCCCTACTCATAATTCTCTCTCCAATGCTTCAATAGCGCTTCCAATGTTTTCCGAGCAGTGATGCTTAGTTATGGGCCAAGTGGTGTACAGAGGGAGCTTTCATGATTTCCATATGAATTCCCTAGTAGTCCGAGCTTACTGAGTGCATTCCAGGTGAGGTAATTGATGGGGCTACCGGCCTTTTGCTTACGTTAACTAATCATTGTAAGTACTTTCTAATCCAAAGACTTATTCATGCAGCACTAGAAAGAAAAACCATTATAAACAAAATAATAGATACGGTTCGTTTCGCTCCTTCCTCAGACGAACCTTATTATTTCGTCTAGAAGTCGGAGTGTTTGTTGTAATTTTCAGTTACTGTTTCGCAAGCTCACTCTTGATTTGGTTGATAGCTAATTTTCTTTCAATTTCAGGTATCTGTGTGCCGATCTCGTCTACGTCATCCTATTTCCACAATTACTTTGTGTTGTCTACGTGAAGAGTAGCAATACGTATGGATCACTGGCTGGCTACGGTGGTAATGATTTCAATCAGCTGTACCTTTCAGAACATTTTCCTCTGAATTCCCACATATTTCCCTTGGAATGATAATGAATGAACTACCTTGTTCAAAAAACTGCAATTTCAGTTGGCCTGATTCTTCGATTATCCGGTGGAGAACCCCTTGTCGGCCTTCCGGCACTGGTCCACTATCCAATGTATACCGATGGAATTCAGTATTTCCCCTTCAAGACGATGGCAATGATGTCGTCATTAATCTGCATTCTTGGCGTAAGTGGCTTATACACAACAACCAGCATCACAATAATTCTTCATAGAGTACTTGTACTGGCTACTGTGTAGTATATATCAATTATGAATTAATTATTCATAATTATGAATTGTGAATTATGTTCAGGTGTCGCGTCTTAGTGAGCACTTGTTTACGACGGGTCAGATATCACCGGAGTGGGATGTTCTGGGTTGTGTCGTTGTGCCATCAGAGAGAATTCCACTCCCGTCGGACGTCTCGTTTAACGTTAGCAGCGATACTCTTGCGATGAATAAGGTGAATTGCTTAAATAACACACCTTATTTTCACCTTCAGAGTGCAACGAATATATATATATATAATTTTTATTGTGCTATATTACCATTTATTGATTACTGTAAAGGAAGAATAAGTCCCACAATTTATCGGGATCGACTGAGCATAAGCAAAGGTTACACGCAATTGAAGGGGTCAAGAAAAACTCCTAAATGTCACGTGGTTGGTCTGGATTGCTACCAGAAACGAGTTTGAACCAAGGACTGAAGAAATCTTTAATAGGACCTCCTCCTCACTATAAATGTGATCACCTCTCGCATCCCTACTTTTCAATGATCGATGGTGTCAACAATGTCTCCTGGTAGCAGTAACATGCTCCAACTCACCCCAAAAGTGTGAGGGGAAAGGTGTACATGGTGTCCCATAATAATTGCACCACTTTCCTAGCTAAAGTTTTCTGAAAATGGATGTATCTTCAAGTGGTCACACACCATCTTCAGTCAAACGTTTAAGTACTGAAAAGAATGACATTCGTTCTATAATGTCCCTAGTCGCTGTGAGTATGGCTCCCAATTTCTTTGGACCCAACTCCACTGTGTGCCGCACGGTATCCAGGGGTGTCCTCTTTTTATAGCAACAGTCCCAGCAGGTGGGCGTGGTCGGAAACGGCTGCAATCCCCTCGGCCAATTCCGACCACGCCCACTTCGAAGCTGCTCAGTTCACTGAACAAAAACTCACCTTGGAAAGCCGCTATGAAGGGAACTGAGCAGCTTCGAAGTGGGCGTGGTCGGAATCGGCACAGGGGATTGCAGCCGATTCCGGCCACGCCCACCCTGCTGGGACTGTTGCTTTAACACGTTGACGACATCGCGCGTTTTGGGTTTTTGCACCGCGTGGGACCAGAGCGATTTTGCGAGCGCCGCCGCCGCACACCAAATCCATGGATTTTGAGCTGTAAATACGCAATACTTAGATGCGATGAAGTGTTTTCAATAATGTTCGATCTGTCTAACTTATCGGGAGTTACAGTAATGGAAGTTCGACCGAAATGACGTGTTAAGGCCATG